AATTGTTTTGGGAATATCCCCCACGTTCTAGTTGAGATGGTATAACCCAAGAGGCAAAATGACGCTTGCTACTGTTGTTGCGAGTTGCCATTCGTTCTACTAAACCATTAGTCAAACGCCGTCATGTCTTCTGTCGTTATTACACAAATAAAAATCTCTTTACTGTTACTAGTGTTAGTGCCTCAATATGGCTATGCTCGTGAAAGCAATACAACGAACTCAAACACGTCTTCGTTCAATGTTGTCAACTAATATCCGGATTAATTTTATGCAAATTTTCCTCAATTCTCTGGAGAAATTTTCATAAAATTTTGAAAAACCCGGAATTCCGGGAAAATCCGGAGGACTTTCATCTCTGCATATGGGAGCGAGGATGCATGATGGAAGACAAGCCATGCCAGATGTGTTGGGTGGTAGCTGGAAAATGATTGTTTTGGCTCATGCTCCTACCTCCTCCTCTTTGTTGACTTGGGGCCTTGTAAACCAAGCTGAACCAACTTGGCCTTCATAGATTGCCGCCCCGTATTGCTGAGTACCCTGTTTACCCTTCAATTCAATCAAAAGTTAAAGCTGACATCCCTTTAATTTGTGCTACAATACTTTCAACTTGGGGCTTTTTAAACAAATGTCAATGATTTCTTTCAAACTGTGATATAGTTGTGATTTTAGAGCAGGGGTGTCCAAAGTCGGTCCTCAAGGGCTGCTGTCCTGCCTGTTTTCTAGCTCTCCCAGGAGCAACACACCTGATTCAAATAATCAAGATCGTTCGCATGCTGCTTCAGAGCTGGCTGATGAGCTGATCATCTGAATCAGGTGTGTTGCAGCCCAGAGAGCTGGAAAACAGGCAGGACAGTGGCCCTCCAGGCCCGGAGCTGGACATGCCTGTTTTTGAGCTTCTGTATTATTTTAAATTTTAAATACCTTGTCTTTGTAATCTATTGAACTGAATATAGGTTGAGAAAAGGATTTGCAAATCATTGCAGTTTGTTTTTAGTTATGTTTCCAAATTGGAAGTGGGGTTTTGTAGTTCTGTTATCATTTGAAACCGCAACATTTGTAAAGTACAGTAATCCCACGTTTATCGCAGGGGTTACGTTCCAAAAAGAACCAGCGATAAGTGAAATCCGTGAAGTAGGATTTATTTAAAAAAAAAAAAAAAAAAGCAAAAAAATGTGAGAGGGACGAAATTTCAAATGTGCTATATGTTTCACATATGTGCTATATGTTTCACATATAGCACATTTGACAATAAAGTTGTACTTGGTACTTGATAGTCAGCTTTATTTTTTTACAGTTATTATACAATACTGAACTATGCCCACAATGCAGAGGCGATTGCTCTAAGACTGCAAGGGAAGCTCAGCTTCCCCTATAATGCCAAAAAGTAAGTGATCAAATATATGTGTGTACGTACAATTGTGTGGACATGTCATTGACTATGCGCTACAACACGCTCAACTTTTGTTCCGAATCAGCTTCTTATTACTGGTTACAACGCGACTCTCTCCTCATTCATTCCCACAGCTTCACTGTGCTTCAAAGTGTGTGGACGCTGAGCGTCGACTGCGCGGACGCTGCGTGTCTAAAGAGTTCAGTGTAGGTTGTCCCAATGCATTGAAACGAGACGAGTCATTGGGATAAATGCTGGTTTTGTCCCGCCCATTGGACGCTCAGCATCTCTGGGAGTCTATAAACAGTGGGCGGAAGTTCAGCTTTTCTGCATGATGATTGGATGATCTGTCTGAGGCTGAATCTCTTATTGATTGACAGCGAAATGAGCCAATCATCGATCTTATGGTGAAGGCATCCTTTTCATTTTTTTGAAAAGGAACAGAGAGTAGAATTCACGTATAAATAAACGGACACATTTTATGATGTAGGCCGAAATTGAGCTTCCCCTCCTTGACAGACCAGCATCCGCTACTGATACAATGAAACCAAAGACCAAAAATTTGCAAAGGTAAATTTGGCAAGCTGTAAAGAGACAAGGTGCGGAGACTGTTCACGTTGGTCAGTCCCTTAGCCAATCAGGATGCAGAACACAATTCACTGTTTAAAAAAAAAGCATTGAAAAAAACTGCACGAAAAAAATCCGTGAAACAGCGAAGCCGTAGAAGGTGAACCGCGTTACACCGAGGGATTACTGTAACCACTTCTACCAATTGTACAGTCCCTTCAACTTTGGCCTTTACCGTGTGCTTTAATTCAGGCTCCAGTGGCTCTATGGCTTGCAATAATGGTTTTTGTCTTGCATTACTGTGACAGCATGAGCTGAATTTTGGAGCGTTAGGGAGAAGCAGGAGCAGGCTGTTCACACTGCACTGATCCTTGTACATGTTGATATCAGAAAGCCTACATAGTACATTTTTGCATTAACAGAAAACCAAACGAATATGCAAGGTGCCATATTTGGTTGACTATTGCATATATTATATATGGGGTGAAGTACATCGTCAAACCACGTACCAACTGTCCTTCGGCTCGGACTTTGTTGAGCATGGCTTCTCTTTTGCGCTGTAAAAACTCCTCAACCTGATATGCCCGCTCAACAGGAATGTGACTCTTTCGCCTAAAAACACAATACGGTAAGCGCAAAGAGAAAGAGAAATTTGAATGGCTCTGACATTGACTGAATAAAGCTGGGGAATATACCTGCTCATATGGGTTTGTTTTGAATTGTGCTGCAATCTCTGTAGTTCTCTTTTGACTGCATCAGGGTTTATGAGTGGGGCAGGGCCATTGGGAAGCACTGGGCCGGCAGCGGCTGGCACATTACTTGCAAACAGATGCAACACTGTCAATCCATATTTAACATTGCGAATGATAGTAAACATCAGAAATTACCGAATAAGAGTGCCTGGCTCAGCTGATCCCTCCCTGCTGATTCCCACCTCGCTTGATTGTTGTTTGGCTATTTCGTCAAGCGCAGAATGGGCGTGTTCATAAGGATTTCTGCTCATTACAGAGACCGGAGTAAAGCTTGGGACAGGACAAGGGCCAAAAACTGCAGTTCTCTTTCCACCACCTAAATAACACTTAGTTTGGAGGACAAAACACAAGGTTCACACATACAGTATAGCCATACTTTACAAAACTCTTCCAGTCGTGCTTGCATGGGTCACCTGCAGGCATTGCATCTTACTCCCTCTGCAAAAAAAAAGAACCCCCCGCCCCCCGCAAAAAACCCATTTATGATCATCATCATTGGGGGACGATGGATCAGCGTACACGTCGCGTCCCCCGCCAGTACCCAGGTCCGCCTGGGGAAGCTAATGATCCAACCAGCAGACTAAATTCTGAGAGACGACGCCAAAAAGCCAAGTCACAGAATCCTAGTCACAATCCTAAAGCCAATAGCAGACAGCCCCAAGAGCACCTGGCGGTAGGACCGGCCCTTTGCATATTACAACTCAATGTCGAAGGCCTTTCCTTAGCCAAGCGAAGCCTCATTGAAGTCCTTGCTTCCCAACATTCTGTTGATGTCATTTGTCTCCAAGAGACCCACATTGGCACAGAGGTAGCAGGCCGATACACCATCAACGGCTATGACCTCTTGTGCTATACACCCCATGCCAAACATGGACTTGCCACCTATGTGCGGTCTGAAGTAGCCGAAGCAAACCACCTGACAACAACACAGTTCTCAGATGCCATAACCATTAGTGGCTTTCACATCGCTAATGTGTATAAGCCCCCGAGTGCCAACTGGGATCTGCAGGTCTTGCCCACTCTTCCCCACCCTGCCATCTACGTGGGGGACTTTAACAGCCACCACCCAGACTGGGGATACCCAGCAGTGGACTGTGATGGTGAGGCGCTTTCAGACTGGGCATCTAGGAATGACCTTGCTCTGATACATGACCCCAAACAAAGAGGGACCTTCCACTCAGCCAGGTGGAACAAAGACTACTCCCCTGACCTGTGCTGGGTCAGCTCTGTGAGTGGAACCCCCTACCCCGCACAGATCCTGGTCCTCGACGACTTCCCACACAGCCAACACCGGCCTTCGCTCATACATATCGGCCTACAACTCCCAGTCATAACCAGCCCAAGGAAGATGCGCTGGAACCTCCGCAAAGCCAACTGGCAGAAATACCGCCAAACCCTGGACCGAAGTATTACAACCATCCCACTCCACACCATCACGATAGATGAAGCATACAACCGCTTCTGCAGTGCCATCTACAAGGCTGCCCACACAGCTATCCCAAGAGGCTACCGACCCCTCTACATCCCCTGCCTGGATGAAGAAAGCGC